ATGTGATTGACAAAACTAGTAAAAGTAGGACTGCTTGGTAATCCTAAAGGCTAGAGCTAAAATACAGGAAATTGAGAATAAAAAGTCTATCTTAGGACCAGGGATAAATTCTGTAGCTCTCCTATATCCAGATTTCTAGGAGAGGTGATGGCATAGGGATACCAAAACTAGGAAAGCCTTCTGACAACTCCTCTCTCTATGTATGCCTATAAGTTCTAAATCTCAGAATTTAAAATTTTACTTTAAACATACGTTCATATCACACCACACACACATTTGGAAGAACATATACTAAAACATTAACTGTGAATACCTCTTGATGGTGATTTTTATGGTGGTTTTGTTTTCACTTGCTTTTCTGCATTTTCAATAATAAAAATAAATTATTATACAGAAAAAATTAAAAAGTATCACTTCTTTCAAAGTGTTCAAGAATTCAGTGTGCTTAGGATTAAGAGAAGTAGAAAAAGATATATTGCTTACAAGTAAATAAATACATATCTTCATAACTTTTCTCATGCCATTAATTCTCATGGTAACCATTCATATTTTCAAACAAGACAACTCGGACAAGAACATGAGGTAAGATGACAATTGAGAAATATACTAAAATGAATGTTTCCTTGTGGAATACTTCTCACTTATATGGATGTTCTCAAACAAAGTATTGTGCCCCAAATAGGAAATAAAAATCTTTTGTCAAATGAATTAATGAAGTTTTAAGACGGTGCTTCATCAGCACTCTTATCAATGAAAGAGAGGATAGAGGGGAGGAAGAAGATGGACTTTGAGGTTGCATGGGCTTGGGTTCTAATGTATCTCTTCCACAAACCACTTGTGACCAGACTTAATAATTGAATTTCTATGGACCTTGGTTTCTTCATCTGAAAAACAGAGATGGTAATACCTAAGACTTGCTGTAAGATTTTAAACCAACAAATGCAAAGGGCCTATCAATAATTAGGTGATTTTTAAAAATGTTGCAATAATTATTTTATGGCAGAAGTTATTTTTATATAACTTTTTTTTTTAAAGAAAAGAAATGTGCAGAGTTGTATTTAAGCTCAGTTTTCAGAACAGTGGTAAGGGGCTACTGACAGAGTAGAAATAAGAGGTCTGAGAATATAGCTAAGCTTTTCAGGTAGTGGCAGTCTTATTTTATTATTAATAAAATATTTTTAATATATATATTTTTAATATATTTATAACCTCCCTAAAATACATTATTCACTCCCATGCTTTCTTAAGCAAAATATGCTAGATATCCATTAGTCTTTATTTTTGGACAACTCAACACCTGCATTAGGAGCAAAAGCTGGTGATACCCTCTGGACCTATTAAATTATATAGGGTTGCCCTTCCCAAACTGGGATATGTGCTGGTATGCCATATATTAAACATAATTCTCAAGCATGGATTTAATTCAATGGGAAGTAATTTAAAATGCTTTGGCTATATTAAAAATATATATAATATTTGGATGTATTAAAAAACATAAAAAACATTGTTTTTCAATATTCTAAAATATTGAATATTGAAATAAAGCAAATATTTACTAAGTGTATACTTTGTGCTGGATATTGATTCAAGTTCCTGGAGATAAAGCATTAGGAAAATAAGAAAAACATAACTGAACTCATAGACCTTATATTCTAATAGGGAAAGACAGGCAATAAGCAAATAAACGCTATACTAGGCTAGATGGTGCCAAGTGGAGTGGACAAAAATCAACAGAGAAGGAGTTTCACTTTAAAACAGGGTAGTCAGAGTAGGCCTCAATAAGAAAGTGCCATGTGATTAAAGGTCTCAAGAATTGGGAAAGTCAGACACTGGGATATCTGTGGGAGAAGTTTTGGGGTAAAAGGAATACTAAAAATATAAAGGTCTGAAGTGGGCTCACTGAGAACAGCAGGGAGATAGTAAGTCTGGAGAGGAAGGAGCAGGAAAGTAGCAGATTAGGAGAGCAGTAAGGCACCAGGTCTCCTAAAGCTTTATAGCTTTTGTATTGATTTTGTTTATCCTCTGAGTGAGAAGACAGTGGAGGCTTTGAGAATGGGAGAGATATGCTCTATATTCATGTCTTAAAAGGACACTGGGGCTGCTGCTGAGAGTAAAGGATATCAGAGTAAGAGCAGAGAAACAGGAGAGACCAATTGGCGGAGTACACCAACAATCCAGAGGGGAGGTGCTGGTGGCTTGGACCAGAGTGGTAGCAGGGAAGGTGCAGTTTTAGGATGCTGGATATTTTCCGAAGTAGAGCAAACAGAATCCCATGTGCTGATATGAAGGGTGAGGAGATTGCACCAAGATTTTTGGCCTGAACGTTTCTCGACATTTACTTAGATGGAGAAGACTGCGGATGGAGCAGGTTTGGCCCGCAAGATCAGGAGCTTGGACTGGAGACGTAGAAAGCAAACTTCAAATGAATGTTCAACACGACAGCATAAAAGAAATACGAACTTTCTGACAGATGTCTTCAAGGATTACCCCTAGACAGGGAAAAGGCAGACTTTAATATTCTCTACTCTTAGGCCTCCTTGGGCAGATAGGTTTTTCAGGCAGTAATTGAGCTCCTGGTTCCCATTCCAAATAGCTAAAATGTTTTCTCGCTTTCTCAGGGTCTGCTTTTTATCCCTCTGTTTTCTCTCTTGCTCCAGGCTGTCAGGTATACTTTTCCCATCTGATAAGGTACTTACCTGATCCTTCCACCCCTCTCCACTTTCTAATTTCCTGGAAGCTTGGAAGCCAGAGTGACAAGCTAATTAGAATCTTGCGGAGGCCCAGAATGCCTTCCACGCGACGAGCATCTCTGCGCAAAGCTGGCCTTACTTCCTGGTTCTCAGGAAAAGAGATTCATTTCGTAAACCGGTTCCCGCAACACATCGCCTGGGAGTTGAGAAACCCGTCGCGAGGTCGGACTGAGCCACAGAAGGACTTGGTGACGCCGCTCCAAGCCCCAGCGTCCTCCTCAGGTCCTATTAACTTTTTGATCCTCGGGAACCCACCCAAGTCTTTACGCTGCAGCAAGCTATGCCCACACAACCTACTTCCTCTGTAACTTTTCTCACTTTGAAGATAGAAGGCGATTTTCCTTCCGAAACCGTCCTTCAACAACCCTGGGGCACAGGGATGGAGACCGGAGCGCAGACCTCGGACGACCTGTGAAGAAGACGCGCACCGCGGGCATTCCTTACCTGCGCAGTAGCCGGGCGCCAGGACTGCCCGGGCACCGCCCAGCTGAGCCGGCTGCGGAGGAACCCAGGTTCGGAAGAGCACGGGGGGGGGGGGGGGCCCCTCTTATTCGGCGCCGCGCCCCGCCCCGTCCCTCCTCTTTGAGCTTCCAGGCGGCTTCGCAGCGTGAGAAATCCCAGGTCTCGCCTAAGACTCTTCTTTAAGCGTGAGCCTGCCCCTTTAAGTACGCCGCTGTCGGAGGCTAAGTATTTTAGGACTTCCGGACATGCGCACAGCATTGTGCCCAGGAATTCCTTAACCTGGACATGAGGTAGACCGGGTCGAACTTCTTGCAAGATGCGGGGCTTCTGTGGGGGGCAGTGATGAGATTAGCTTTGGGACCCCGGCTTTTTGCCCGCAAGAGGAAGGGGACATGGGCTAGTATCGGCGTTGGGACAGGCGGGGGTAGTGGAGGGAGAAGAAGCAGGTGGAGCCACTGGTGTGCTAGGGGTACTTCTGATGCACCAGAAGGCAACCCCGCCAGAGACTTTAGTTCTGAGAATTGGTGACAGAAAGCAAATAGGAGTGACTGCAGCTGAGCGTTGGCGTTTGAAGGAAGAGCATGAGGGTAAAACGCTACCTGCTGCATTTCTAACATCTCCCCAGATCTGCCCTCAACCACCAATTCCCCAACCTTGGGTCAGCCAAACTACCCACTCCTCTCCGCCCCGTACCCTTGTCAAGAAATCTGCTGTGTAGGAATACTGCCTATTTGTGTTTAACTCCACGTGGGCTCCTTGGCTCCGTCCAGCTCAGTTCCGCTCTTTTACTAAGATGCCCGTTGTAATTCCCTGAACATTACGTTCTTCCCAAGGTGTTCTAGCTAACCCAGTAGTAGAATGTCTTCATATTTTCTTCCTTCTACTGGGGAAAGAGTACATCATTATTCTTTACAAGGACAATACTAAAACTGCTCTTGATCACATTGCTTTCCAACTTTTGGAATTCTTCATCACATTCATCTACTCGGTGCCATCATTCATCTTACTAAAACATCTTTTTGGATTGTGTCATTTTTCTACTCAAACACCTCCAGTAGCTATATGTTGACCACTCAACGGATTCTAAGTTCTTGGTAGGGCATTCACTGTCTGGCAGTTTGGCTCTAATCCGAGCTGTATTTTCCAGAACTGTACTACAAAACTTTTTCTCCTACTGCTCTTGTATCTGGGCTGTTCAATTTCCCCTAACACATTGTATATTTTGTTTGTATGTACTTACGATATGTCTCTACCTTATTCTATGTCTTGAATCGTTTTGAGGACTTAAATGGCCACTTCTTGTATTACGCTTTCTCTGATTATCATAGGCAAAAGTGATCCCTTTTTTCTTCCTTTTTACTCTTACAGCTCTTATTTTGTAGTAGTTGTTTCATTTATTCATTTATTCAGTCAGTATTGATTGCATGCTTACTCTGTCCTTGACACTGTTTTAAATGTGAGATAATCAGTGAATTGGGCAGACAAGGCACTTGCTCCCATAGAGCTAAGATTCTAGTTGGGAGAGATATACCGTAAATAATAAAATTATTAGATAGAAATACTGTGCAGAAAGTTGAGTAGGGTTTGGGGGAAGAGAGTGTCTTGCTGGTTCCTTTACTTTATTAGTCAGGGACGACCTCTATGAGAATGTGATTGAGGAATGACTAATTTAATCAGGAAGGGTTAACACAAAGGAATTGAAGAAGGCCAGTGTAGTTGGAGTGTAGTGGGTAATGGGGAAAGGGTACAAGATAAATTTAGAGAATAGATAGAGTCCAGAATCCTAGAAGTCTTTGGAAGCCAGGGTAAGTAATTTGGATTTCATTATCAATGTGATTAGAAGTTTTAAAGAGGATTGTGATATTTAATTTACCTTTCAAATCATCATTCTGGCCATGTGGAGAATGGACAATAGTGGACTAGTTAAGTAGAAGAGATTAGAGGCCTTCACAATGTGTAAGAATTTCTAAGATGGGAGTACTAAATGATGGAAGGACAGCAAGAGTAATCAGAGAGCCAGATGCTTAAAGTTGATGTAATTTTTGGTGATGAGAAAGTCAAGGTTATGACCAAGATGGCGTGGAAGTGGGTTGAGGTTGAGATCAAGGAATCAAGGAACAAGTAGATGATGCATATAGATGGACATGGAAGTCATGTTGAGTAGGAAGACATTGAGGGAGGTGTTAAAATCATCAGTGAATGAAGAGGAGTCTTCTGGGGACCAAAGAGAGGATGCCAGCAGATGGTAAAGCCTGATTGCATGAACCTCAAAGGAGTTGGGATTTGGGGCAGGTAGGGTAGAGAGAAATGGTTTGGAGCAGTGGCAAATAAACATATTTACATCCTCCAGGTCCTAAGGTAGGTGGGTGTGAAAGGAAAAATAACCTTCACTTGAGAGGACTAGAGAAGCAGCAGCGAAGGGAAATAACCAGGTTTCAGTTATGACAAGAAACTGAGGAGACTGTGCAGGAAATTAAGGAATGGAGGAAATAAACATATCCTTATGTAGTCTAGGAAATTAGGTTATAGAGACTTTGCTGTGATTTCTACGTGGCATGATCCGGGGGAAGTTTACTAGATTGGTTCAGATTAGTAGAATACATTGTAGAAATGGGATGAAGGTTCAGATGATGATGAATTACCTAGAGAGTGTGGTTATATGTGAGTAGTATGTGGTCCCTGGGCATTTTGTCTTTCATGTAGCTCTGTTTGGTATGGTAGCCATAGGCTGTGTGAAGAATGAATAAAGGCTTCTTCAGAGGATTATTCTCTTATCTACTGCTTCAAGAAGATCTGAAAAGTTTTTTTCTCTCTGATGCCAGTAGCATGGTTGGAATTTTCCTGTGGGTCAACATCAAAAGTTTGTATCTGTAAAAGTTTATAACTGGGTTGTCAAGAAGGTTTAAGGTTCAGGATTAATTTAAGTTAAATTAATTAATTAAATTAATTAATTAATAAATTGCAGGTTGGTTTTTAGAACTTCATTTATCTATCAATTTGGACTATTTCTTCCTGTCTTCTGGTCCCTTCTCTCATCTCCAACCCCTAATATATAAAAATCTAGCCACAAATTCTCCGGAATTAGCTGGAAATTTTCAGGGATGGGATTTAGACAAATCATTAAGTCCTATGTTCTGGTCTTTTCTTTGTGGGCCTACAAGTGGTATTTTTAAAGTAAACTTGAAACTGATCCATTTTAATCCTGGATAATGGATGGAAGCTTGGAGTGGGTGAAGAGTGAAGTTGCAAATCATCAGTTATACCAGAAAAGATTGCCTGTTAATTCATCTTGGTATAGAAGGGTCAAAATACACATGATATATAGAAATAAATTGCTAACGTCTCTTAAGGGAACTCAGGATTGAAAGGGAGAAAGAAAAATAAGTCCTGCAAATACATTTCTTTTTTGTTATCCATAACTATTCTTTCTGGTAACTGCCTCTTTCTTTCTTTTGTAGGCATTGTTATTTAAGAATGGAAGAGGATACAGATTTTAGAGTCAGGTTTAGTTCTTTGTGTTTCATTACTGATCATCTTGGATTTCATGGCACTATAAAAAGCTCACCAAGTGACTTTGTTGTTATAGAGATCGATGAACAGGGACAGTTAGTTAATAAGGCCACTAATGAATGGATTAGTAAAGTACTACCTGAGCCAAATAATTTTGCCAAAAAAACAAAACTTGATTTTCAGAATTTATCCTTTAAAGAGGGAAGCAACCAAGAAGTCAATATTGTCACTGGGTGCTCTGATGATGACCAAAATCATCAGTCTGCTTCAGAAAAGGAAGATACTATCAATGATGGAACTTCCAAAGGTGAAGAAAAAGTTGATGTTTTAAGCAACTTGTTAGATGAAAAAACTAACGAATTACTGAATCACTTTGCCTGTGATGTAAAAGAGAAGTGGAATTCTAAAACTGAGCTAATTGGATCATCTCCTGAATTCTCATTAGGCAGAATCCTTGACAAAAACCAGAGGGCTATTTTGCATAGTGCTGTTAGGCAGAAATTCCCCTTTTTAATAACCGTTGGTAAAAACAGTGAGATTGTTGTAAAACCAAATCTTGAGTATAAGGAACTCTGTCACTTGGTGTCTGAAGAAGAAGCATTTGACTTTTTTAAATATCTGGATGCAAAGAAAGAAAATTCAAAATTTACCTTTAAACCTGACACAAACAAAGACCACAGAAAAGCTGTCCACCATTTTGTCAACAAAAAGTTTGGAAACCTTGTGGAAACCAAATCTTTCCCTGAACTCAGTTACAATGCCGGTAATCCAAATGTAGCGATAACAGTAAGATTTCGGGAAAAAACACACAAACACAGGAAAAGGTCTCTTTTTGAATGCCGGGATCAAAAAGTTATATACACAGGTAATGTAATAAATCATTACCATTTTCATTGATAAAGTTAGTTAAAATTGTGTGAAAGATGAATAATTTCAAATGAATTAAATAGACTTAACCAGAGGGATGTCGGAAAAAATATTTGGGTCTAGTTTTTAGTGGAAGCTAAGGCCTTTCAAATTACACTAATTTTGCGAATTAACCTTATTAATCAAAGTATGGTTAACACAGTGCTTATAGTTAACATAGTCACAAATGTATAAAGTTGAAGGAGTTATTTTGTGTTTAATAAGTTTTATTGGAGATAAATCTTGATTTCATATTTTTGAAGTTATTTTAATTAAAATTAAGTACTCAGACAAGTATAATATGTCTGCTTTGCTTGGGAAAGTGAAGAGAACACCTTGTTTTCTAAACAATTGAACTTCAGTACCCGAGGTAAAGAGCCTCCTTACAAGGAGCTCCCTCTTTGTTCAGTTACTCTTTTAGAGAGGAGGTTCTGAAACTTTAACATGCATTAAAAGTCACCAAAAGGGCTTGTTAAACAGATTTCTGAGCCCTATTCTCAGAGTTTCTGATTTAGAAGGTTTGGGGCAGGGCTTTCAGAAATTCCCAGGTGGTGCTTTTTCTACTTGGTCTGGGGACCACATTTTGAAAATCACTGTTTTAGCAGATATATTCAATTCCTAGGCCTGGATGGAACTTATGAAATCTTATTCTACAAGTTTGGCTGACCAGGTCTAATTGGCCTATATCCTACATGAAGGACGGGAAGTATTTCCCATGGTCTTGTTTTATAGATACAGCAAAGTTGTTTTTTTTTTCCTGGTTAAACACATTGTTTTATTTATTTTTAAGTTTTTATTTTAATCACCCAGTACTCATCATGACAAGTGCTCTCCTTAATCCCCATCATCTATTTCACCCATCCCCCACCAACCTCCCCTCTGGTAACCAGCAGTTTGTTCTCTATAGTTAAGAGTGTTTCTTCGTTTGTCTCTCTCTTCCCCACCGCCTTTGTTCATTTATTTCTTAAATTACACATATGAGTGAAATCATATGGTATGTGACTTTCTCTGACTGGCTTATTTCACTTAGCATTACTCTAACACCATCCATGTCACTGCAAATGGCAAGATTTCATTCTTTTTTGTGGCTGAGTAATATTCCATTGTATGTCTATGCAACCTCTTCTTTATCCATTCATCAGTCCATCAATGGACACTTGTGTTGCTTCCATATCTTGGCTATTGTAAATAATGCAGCTATAAATGTGGGGGTGTATGTATCCCTTTGAATTATTTTTCTATTCTTTGGGTAAATACCCAGTAGTGAGATTGCTGGATCATAGGGTAGTTTTATTCTTAACTCTTTGAGGAAACTCCATACTGTTTTCCATAGTGGCTACTCCAACAGTGCAAGAGGGTTGCTTTTTCTCCACATCCTTGCCAACACCTGTTGTTTCTTGTGTTGTTGACTTTAGCTAATCTGACAGGTATGAGGTGATATCTCATTGTAGTTTTGATTTGCATTTCCCTGATGATAAGTGATGGTGAACATTTTTCATCTTTTCATGTGTCTGTTGGCCAGCTGGCTGTTATCGTCATCATCGTCGTCGTCGTCTTTTCTTTTCTTTTTGTTTGATAGACTCCACAGAGCTTGAACTCATGACCCTGAGACCAAGACCAGGAGCTGAGATCAAGAGTTGGTTGCTTAACTGACTGAGCAACCCAGGCACACATCTGTTTGTCTTCTTTGGAGAAATGTCTGTTTGTGTGTCTTCTGCACATTGATAAATTGGATTATTTGTTTTCTAGGTGTTGAGTTGTATCAGTTCTTTATATATTTCGGATACTAAACCTTTATCAGATACGTCATTTGCAAATATCTTCTCCCATTCAATGGGTTGCCTTTTAGTTTTGTTGATTGTTTTCTTTGCTGTGCAGAAGCTTTTCATTCTAATGTGGTGCCAGTAGTTTATTTTTGCTTTTGTTTCCCTTACCTCAGGGGACCTCTCTAGAAAAAAAGTTGCTACAGTTGATGTCAGAGAAATTATCGCCTATGCTCTTTCCTAGGATTTTTATGGTGTCAGGTCTCACATTTAGGTTTTTCATCCATTTTGAATTTATTTTTGTATATGGTGTAAGAAAGTGGTCCAGTTTCATTCTTTTGCATGTAGCTCTCCAGTTTTCCCAACACTACTTGTTGAAGAGACTGTCTTTTCCCCATTGGATATTCTTTCCTGCTTTTTTGAAGATTAATTGACCATATAATTGTGGGTTCATTTCTGGGTTTTCTATTCCATTCCATTGACGTACATTTCTATTTTTGTGTCAGTTCCATACTGTTTTGATTCCTACAGCTTTGTAATATAACTTGAAGTCTGGAATTGTGATGCCTCCAGTTTTTTGTTTTGTTTTGTTTTTTTTAAGATTGCTTTGGCTATTCAGGGTCTTTTGTGGTTCCATACAAATTTTAGGATTAGTTCTGTGAAAAATGCTGTTGATATTTTGATAGGGATTTCATTAAATGTGCAGATTGCTTTGGGTAGAATAGACATTTTAACAATGTTTGTTCTTATAATCCATGAGCACAGATTGTCTTTCCATTTCATGTCATCTTCAGTTTCTTTCATCAGTGTTTTATAGTTTTCAGAATACAGGTCTTTCACCTCTTTGGTTAGGTTTATTCATAGGTATCTTATTATTTTTAGTGCAATTGTAAATGGGATTGTTTTCTTAATTTCTCTTTCTACTGCTTCATTATTGGTGTATAGGGATGCCACAGATTTCTGTGCGTTGATTTTGTATCCTGTGACTTTAATGAATCTGTTTATGAGTTCTAGCAAGTTTTTGGTGGAGTCTTTCAGGTTTTCTATATATATTATCATGTCACCTGCAAAGAATGAAAGTTTTACTTCTTCCTTACCAGTTTGGATGCCTTTTTTTTCTTTTTGTTGTTTGATTGCTGTCGCTAGGACTTCCAGTACTATGTTGAGTAAAAGTGGTAAGAGTGGACATCCTTGTCTCATTCCTGACCTTAGGGGAAAGGCTGTCAGTTCTTTCCCATTAAGAATGATGTTAGCTGTGGGTTTTTCATATATGGCCTTTTTTATGTTGAAGTATGTTCCCTCTAAACCTACTTTGTTGAGGATTTTTATCATGAATGGATGTTGTACTTTGTCAAATGCTTTTTCTGTGTCTCTTGAAATGATCATATGGTTCATATCCATTTTCTTATTGATGTGATGTATTACTTTGATTGGTTTGTGAATATTGAACCATGCTTGCAACTCACGAATAAATCCCACTTGATTGTGGTGAATGATGTTTTTTTAATGAATGTTTTTGGATTTGGTTTGCTAGGATATTGTTGAGGATTTTGGCACCTATGTTCATCAGAAATATTGGCCTTATATAGGAAAGCTTTTAGGATGAAAGCAGCAGCCCAAATTTGCACAGATTGCATGTGGCATAGAAACAGGATTGTACTGTGTAGGGACTCTGTGGTATAAATGAAGAGATTAGACCTTGAATCTATGTGGGTTTCATTTTATATTATGACTTCAGTTCATATAAAGATTTATGAACTTTTAAATCTCTTTAAGGCTTAGTTTCTGGGGCGCCTTGGTGGCTCAGTCGGTTGAACGGCTGCCTTGGGCTCAGGTTGTGATCCTGGGTTCCTGGGATCCCTGCTCAGCAGGGAGCCTGATTCTCCGTCCCCCTCTGTCTGCCGCTCTGCCTACATGTGCTCTTTGTCTCTCTGTCAAATAAATAAATAAAATCTTTAAAAAAATAAAAGACTTAGTTTCCACAAATGTAAAGCTGGAAAAAAATAATACCACGGGCAAATTACTTAGCAATTTGTAACTTTTGGTTGTACTTTAAAAAATGGGGTAATAGTAAAGCCTAATTCACAATGATATTCTAATGATTAAATGAAATAATTAATGAAAATTTTAATATATAATAGTTATTCAAATGTTGGTGTCTTCTCTCCTGAAAATTTCTGTCTGGTATGTGACTTGCCTTATATGAAAGAGCTGCTAGTACAGCTCTTGACACATGAGGCATGCAGTAAATGGTAACAGATAAATCTATTGTGAAGGAAAAACAAAAGTAGCTTTAAATGTGGAAGGGAGAATTACTGGTAAGTTATTTAAGCAGTTACAGGTTTTATACTACTTGAAATTCTAACAGTATTAATTTGAATTACTGAACTAAAAATTGTGGAAACTTTTTATGTATTAGTTTAAATTAGTTTTACAAAAACTATGAATAATTGGAGGGATTTATTAAGGGGAGGAATTGATGGTTCACCAGAGAATCGTATGGAGATATTGGGATATCTACAAGTCCAAGAACAAAGAAAAAGTCCAAGGTAAAGTATGCCTAGCCCAGATTTTGCACAGGCCAACCTTTTGTAAGAACAAAAATAACTCATATAAAAAAAAATTCTTAATAAATAGGCCTATCTAAAAAGTAGCCATTGCCCCAAGGTGTCAAGATTATTTTAATACAGCAAGAGATATGAAACAAAACATGTAATAATGATGATGAGAACAGACATGCAGACAATGAAAATTTTTTAAATTAAATTTGTTATACATTATCTTGGTAGTAAAAAAATAAAAATGAATATCCTAGTGTAAACAAAACTATTATACCTCTCAGTTTGTACCGTTTCAGTGTTTTAAATGTTAAATGCAAATAAAAACCCTTAAGTGGTCACATAGAAAATAAAAAAATAAAAAGAACACTTAAAAAAACTTTTTCTTTTTATTGTTATAAAATATACATAACAGAATTTACCATTTTAACCACTCTTAAATGTACAGCTCAGGGGCATTAAGTATGTTCCCATTGTTGTACATCCATTACCATCATCCATCTCCAGAACTTTTTTATCTTCCCAAACTGAAACTGTATACCCATTAAATAATAACTCTCGCCTTTCCCCTCTCCCCCCAGCCATGGCAGCCACCATCCTGCTTTCTGTCTCTATAAATTTGACTACTCTAGTTATCT